CCCCCCACCCCCGTCCCGATTTTTCACATTTGCTGTCTGGTCACCCTATTTAAATAGGACAATACTGGTAAGGAGATAATGATGCACCCAGGAGAACAGTCACATCTACCCCTTCCAGTGGGCTGCTGAAAGACGAGACAGGCCCTGCCAGAATGATTTCCTAGAATCCCATTGGATCCCAAAGTCATGGGCTGGGATCACCCACTGCTTTAGTGCAGGAGAGTCTAATGTGCTGTAATGACACAGGAGAAAGGAGGCTAAATGATGGGGAACCCTCACTCCCCATCATTGGGGGCCCATTTTCAAAGGTAATCACTGATATGCCCGGGCCCCAATGCTGGTCCCACACCCACCTACTGAAGGTAGAATGCTAGGAGCATTGGTCCTGCTCGGGAAACGGTGTAATTGGGAAAAGAGGATCACTGAATAGGTGAGTTTCTGGGACAGACAGTCCATCCTGTGCAGCCCTGTAGGTGGGGATCCTACAAATAGACAGGTGTTATGAGGCAGCAGTCCCATAGGAGAGGGGTTCCTGGTGGTTATGCTGCCTCCACAAAATGAACAGCAATATCCGCTGTCAGGCTGTAACACCAGGAAGTGTTTCTTGCTTGGTTCCTGCCAGAGCAAGGAGAAACAGGCGAGGTCACACAGCAAGCGAGACTCTTCATTCAGTGGAATACAGAGAGAGACTTGACTGTCCAGATCCTCACAAATGACTTTGGCTCCCATCAGACAACAGTGAGGTTTGAACCCAGCAATCTTCAGCTCCAGCATCTACTCCTTGAGCTAAAGAGTTAACTCTCCTGGTCAGAGGGGGTAACAGACACATAAGCATCCTATGCCACTAGAGGGAGGCAAAGACCCACATTCTCCTGAACTGGTTACACAATCACTGCCATTCCATTCTTTATGTAACAGTACCATGGTATCCCCTGTTCCTATTGCAATACTGCAGTTCCAGTACCTCTGATTTGCCAGTTCCTACAGTGCAGGAGAGGGCACACTATGGCCCGCAGGCCAGATCCGGCCCATCAGGGCTTTCAATTCTGCACGCGGGATTGCCAGCCCCGTGGCGCAGCGGGGCTAAGGCAGGCTCCCTGCCTACCTTGGCCCCATGCCACTCCCAGAAGCAGCCAGCACCACGTCCTTGCGGCCCCTGGGGAAGTGAGGGGGCAGAGGGCTCTGTGCGCTGTCCTCACCTGCAGGCACCGCCCCCCGCAGTTCCCATTGGCCGGGAATGTGGAACCGCTGCCAATGGGAGCTTCGGGGATGGTACCCACAGGCAAGGGCAGCACTTGGCGAAGCCGCCTGCCCCACCCCCATAAGCCACTGCTGGACATGCTGGCCACTTCCGGGAGCGGCACAGGGCCAGGGCAGGCAGGGAGCTTGCCTTAGCCTCGCTGCTGCCACCCCGGACCACTCGAGGTAAGTGGTGCTGGGCTGGAGCTTGCACCCCAAACCCCTCCTGCACCCTGCACTCCCAGCCCCTGCCTTGAGCCCCCTTCTGCACCCCACAGCCCTCCTGAACCCCAACCCTCCTGCCCCAGCCCTACAATCATGGCCCTGCATACAATTTCCCCACCCAGATGTGGCCCTCAGGCCAAAAAGTTTGCCCACCCCTGCTACAGTGGCACCAGGGCATCTCCTAGTCCAGGGGTAGGCAACCTATGGCACCCGTGCCGAAGGCGGCATGCGAGCTGATTTCAGTGGCACTCATACTGCCCAGGTCCTGGCCACTGGTCTGGGGGGCTCTGCATTTTAATTTAATTTTAAATGAAGCTTCTTAAACATTTTTAAAACCTTATTTAATTTACATACAACAATAGTTTAGTTATATATTATAGACTTATAGAAAGAGACCTTCTAAAAACGTTAAAATGTATTACTGGCATGCGAAACCTTAAATCGGAATGAATAAATGAAGACTTGGCACACCACGTCTGAAAGGTTGCCGACCCCTGTCCTAGTTTAAGCAGTGCAGGAACCCAGGGTGGTGCACGATGGGCAGCAACTCCACACCAATCCATGAGCCCCTACGTAAGCTCATCCTGAGGAGCCTTAGACCAACTTATCACCACAGAGCTATTTGGATCCTCATTTTGGCCACTAAACTGCTTCCCTGCCCTCCTTGATGTGGCCAAGCCAAATACGGAGTCTGGAATTGCGATTCTTCCTCTAGGCAAAGATTTATTTTCCTTTATAAAGAGCAGAGTGCAGCCATCTTGCTGTTTAAATTGAGCAATTTCAGAGTAATTAACACATTGTTTTTGTCTTACATTTAAAACAAAGTGTCTAGACCAATAACAGCTTGCAGTTCTCTAGCTCCTTTCATCCCGAAGCACTTTACAAACTGATAGGAAAATCTACACAGAAGGATCATCTCACCCACTGCTGACCTGCAGTGACCTCCAGGCTGGAACACCGCAGCCGGTTAACAGCACACAACAACATTACATAGCAATTTAGAGCAGGAACCAAAGAAAAATAGATCCAGGTGGAACTGCAAGGAAAGAGCTGAAATCTGACTCTGAGGAGGACATTCTCAGCTTTCCTTCATCACAGCCGGTGTAAATCAGAATAGCTCCACTGGACTCAGGCCTTGGCTACACTCGGGAATTCACAGCGCTGTGAAGCGCGAGTGTAGTCGCGCTTCACAGCACTGCGAGAGAGCTCTCGCAGCGCTGTATGTACTCCACCTCTCCGAGGGGAATAGCTTGCAGCGCTGCGAGTGAGTGTGCAGCGCTGCAGGCTCTGATCACACTGGCGCTTTACAGCGCTGCACTCACTGCGCTCGGGGGGGGCGTTTTCACACCCCATAGCGCAGCAAGTTGCAGCGCTGTACAGCGCCAGTGTAGCCAAGGCCTCAGAGAGATGCTGATTCACACCAGCTCAAACGCTCGCACCCAGCCTAGCTCGTCCCTAAACGCTCTCTCTCCAGGCCTGTAATTCACAGTGTAAAACACCTTCCCTTGCAGAAAACAGCTAATATTTTTTCAGCCAGGATCAGAGTGAGGATTTCCAGGGCACCCAGTTGCTGAAGAGGAATTAGACCTTGCAATCCCACTATGGCTCATGGCTGCTGAAGCAGAGCCAAGCAGTGGGGCCACAACTGGGTGCTGGTGTTTCAGACCAGCCCTGTTCTAAGCAGGAAGAGGTAGGTACCATGGGAGCATTTCCAGCATCCTCCTCCCAGCTACCTTCCTGGGGAGCAGGACTTGAGTTTCACTTACTGACCAACCCTTTGCTTGCAAGTGCCACTGTATGCCATCAGGGTGGCACCAAGGGCCACCAGGCAGAGCATCCCGCAGAGCAGCAGGGTGCAGCCAACATTCGCGTGATGAAAGGAGTGCCTCTCCCAGGATTGCTGACCCATGCTCATGAGGCTCTTATGCAACGAGGCATCTGCTGACCTGCAAACAGCCCAGAGGTTCTATTGCCATTTGCCTCCCCGTCCCAGACAAACGCAAAGCAGAACAGAAGGCGACTCAGGCACAGCGTTTTCCTTTGCACGTGATCAGGTTACTTGTGTAGCGGCTCCACCGGGGAGAGACTGTGACATCACAGACGATCTGAGTCTGGGTGCCGACGGGCCGATTCGTGGCTCTGCTGATGGCAGTGGTTACATCACAGAGAAACGCGGCTCAGCAGCGCCAGGTGAGATGATACAACAGCACAGGATGGCAGGCAAGACGATGACATAGTAGACGAGGTTAATTATTCAATTATAAAAACACTCCAAGGCAAGGATCATGGCTTTGCAAGGTTCTGTAAAGCACCATGTATATTTAAGGTCTGAGCCCAAGCTACTGGGAGCCCAAGGATTTCAATGAGCTTTGGATCAGGCCCTCCCAGCACTACTGCATATGCTCATATATTAATGACAGTGGGAGGGGAGATGTGAGCTGCAGGGGGGCCTAGGAGATGGTTGCCCCAGGCGCTGTCACCCACATGCAGTGGTGTCTCAGGGCTCCCTGCTGGGGAGCTGGGAGACCATTAAGAAAGCACTGCAGAGGTGAAAGTAAGCCGGTCCGGTCCGGCGTACCGGTAAGAGCCGGTACACAGCCAACCGTACCACAGGGGGCAGCTTCCCTGGGGCCCAGCAATTTAAAAGGGCCCGGGGCTCCCAGTAGCGGCCGGAGCCCCTGGCCCTTTAAATCGCCGCCAGAGCCCCGGGGTTCCAAGGCGCTGCTGCCGCTACCATGGGGCTCCGGCGGTGATTTAAAGGGCCGGGGCTCCCAGCCACCGCTACTGCAGCCAGAGCTGCAGCCAGAGCCTCAGGCCCTTTAAATCACTGCTGGAGCCCCGGGGTAGCATTGACGGCGACGTCCAGCAGCCCCGGGCCCTTTAAATGAAGGGCTGGCTGGGGGAGTCTGGCCCCAGCCCTGCCCCCCCAACCTTACTCAGGACCCCGGCCGCCCTGCGTACCGGTAAGTGCCTTAAGTTACTTTCACCCCTGAAGCACTGGCAAGGCTCGGGTCCAATACAGGAGTCGCTGGGTGAAATTCTACAGCCTCTGTTATACAGGAGGTCAGACTAGATGATTTAATGGTTCCTTCTGGCCTTAATCTATAATGGAGCAGCACAGAAGTGAATGCCCAGGGCCAGAGCCTATAACTGGCCACTGAGTAGCAACTGCCTGAGTTGGGGGCTATAAGGAAAGCCAGAGAGGAGACAGCCCCAGGCTGGAGTTTATATTGGGACAGCAGGGAGGTGAATGCCTGAGGCCGCAGCCTAGAAACAGGAGTGGCTAGGAGGCATCTGTCCTTGGCTGGGGTTTATAGCAGAGCAATAGGGAGATGCTCATTCCTGCAGTGACCATAGCCGGGCACCGCTGCCTCACAAAGACCTGAAGAGACACTGTCTGCAGCCTAGTACAGCCAACCTCAGCATAGCTGTGGCCAGGTTTCTGTTCTGCAATTTCCATTTGCACTGCGACCGAGGCCCCAGGCACGGAGCTTTGGCCTACGCTGTAGCTCTCCCAGCGGCAGCTCTGAGCTGGGTTACAAAACCAAACCCTGAGCTGAAAAGAGAATCAAACCCCTCTTTGTGACTGAGCGAATGGAAAGTGACTCCTACAGGTGACTGCCAGAGGAGCAGGGAAGCACTTGGAAAACATGCTTTGCATGGCTCTCAGTGAGATTACTGTGCGGTGCTGGCATTTGCAGGGGGCACCAGTGAGGGCTGGGGGCATAGCCGAGCAATACTGCACCCCTGCCTCGCTCAGGCAGAGGGGTGGATGTGGGAAGTCCCAGTTGCAGTTCGGTGCCAAAGGACCCTCTGCCAAACAGAGGAGCCCAGGACCCGCCTCGTGCACAGCAGGTCTCGGAGAATCCGCAGAAGCAAGATTGTGTATAAAATTAAAAAAACTGGCTATAGGCAGCATAGAGAAAAGGGTCCACTATGGACAGAACTTAGCGCTGGCCACCCCCCAGAGCTCAAAGGACCAGCCCATCTCTGGGGGGAGGTGGGGGTGTCTGTATCTCATAGTCACTGTGAGAACGGCAGCAAGGAGGCCTTTGGACAGGGGAACTCTGCTCCTCCCCTCTGCGGTTCACGTCAGGCTGGGAGAAGGAGGGAACCCCGTCGGCATAGACGCGCTGCCTCAGTCTGTCTGTCTACTGGAGTACATGACGTTCGTGCTGGGGCAGCTCCCTTCAGACAGCGAGGCCCAGCCTACATCGCACTGGGGTAGAAGCCCAGCTTGGCCATGGACATTTCCCTCCTGAGCCGCATGATTTCCCAGTATATCAGCTCCACTGCAAAGCAAAGGGGCAGGAGGGTTAGCCAGCCCCACACTAGGTGCCATGCGAGCTACCTGGCTCAGCCCCCTCCCCTATGAGTGGGACGTCGGTCCACACAGAGCGTACGCATGGACTGGAGTGAGCCATAGGACTAGGGCCATCCTGCTCAGCCAGCCCTGCAGCATGGGGCATAGCCCCCCAAAGCACAGAGTGTGGGCACCTCCCTTCCTTCTCCACCCCTCTCCTGCCCGTCCCACCTCAGGCCTCTTGTCCCTCTCCCTTGCTTCCCTGCCCCTTTACTGACCTCTCTCCCTCAACCCCTCTAGAGCTCTCCACATCTCCCTCCCATTCAGCTAGACTGGGGCCCTCCCATCCCTCCAGAGCATTCACTAGGCTGAGGGAAAGTCCCTCCTGCCCTCTCGCCTCCCTTCACTGAGCATTAGGAGCCCAGTCCCTTTCTGCAACAGGGAGCAGCCTCCGCAATAGCTCCCACTGACCCCCAACCCTCTGCTGGGGGCCGCCGGCTGCCTCTTACCATCCTGTCTCACCAAGCCCTGCTGGATGTAGCGAATGTAGGTGAAGAAGTTGCATACGGCTGTGATCTAGGGGAGAGAGAGAGAGACACTGCTGTAAAACGGCCTCAACAACAATAATAATAATAATAATAGCACAGCAGGGGCTGGCCAAAGCAAAGGCAGATACGCTGGCCAGAGGACCCCTCTTCCTTAAGGCTGCAGGGTTTGGTATCGCCACCGCCCATCTCAGTGCTTTGGCATCATCCTCTATGCTCACAGGGCTGATTTTTCACAAGTGCAGAGCATCCGCAACTCCAGCTGGAGTCAACGGGAGCAATGGGTGCTCAGCACTACTGTCACTTTGGAAATCCTGGTGCGAACCCATGGGACTCCCCCTGGCAGGAGGAGGAGAGTAAAGTGGGATAGGCAGGGGAAGTGCAGACACGGGGCTAGACTGGGAGTAAAGGGCTGTGGGGTCTAATTTCTGCTCTGTCACTGAGGCACTGTGTGACCTTGAGCAAGTCACTTCCTCTCTCTGTGGCCCGATCTCCTCATCTGCAGCAATACTGCAGTACTTTGAGAATTATGGATGAAAAGAGCTTTCTAAGTCCTGTGTATTTTCAGCCAGGGATGAGAGTTAGGAGAGAGGCAGATATTTATGTGTATTCAGTACCAGAAATTAAGGCTGTGTGAAGATGAGCAGGGGCCAGCCAGTTTCACTACAATATGTGTAACTGAAACATCCTGGGCCAGAATTACAAGACCTTTGCACTTTGTGAACATTCAGACTTGAAAGGAACAACTGAGCTCTGCTGAAAGAAGTTTTACAACACAGGAATTTCTTTTGTTTGAAAAAGCCCTAGTGAAAAACTACACTGTTTGTGCAAGGAGGAGTTGTGCTAAATTGGACTGTTTTTGTTAAAGTGACAAAGTTTGAGCTCTATTACCAATATTCCCCACAGCCCTATCCCAGACAGGGACTGCTGTAGGGAATGATTTGCTCCTTTAGGCCCCAAGTCAGCAAAGCATTTAAACACATGATTATCTTTTAGGCAAATGCTTGATAGCTTTGCTGAAGAGAGCTGAGCATAACCATTTGTTTAAGTACTTTGCTGAATCAGGGCCATAATAATATTGAATAATTTACCTTTTCAGTGCCCTCCAGAGTAAAAGGAGAGTCTGCTTCCAGAACAGCCTTAGTCACTGCTCTCCACTGCACAGTAACGAAACCCAGCATTCAAGGAACAGTGAATTACAGTGTTTGACAAAGAAAATCAAAGCTTCACAGAGAATCAAATCATGGAGAAGAGAGAAGTAAAGACATATTTTGAAAGTTACTGTTGCCTTAAATGAGTAACATAACACAGACCACTGCATGGTATCATACCCTGAGAAACAGGGCTGGGTAGCAGCGATCAATGCAGACTGACTGAGAGCCAATCCAACTCTATCAGCCAAATTCGCCCCTACTGTCTTCTGTGGAGCTACACCAGGGATTAATCTGTTTCAGTTCCTGGAAGGAGCTGGGGAGAAAAGATGGCCCCTGGGATGCTGGAGGACTCACCCTGGCCCTGCAGGATGGTGAGATGTAATAATAGTTCCCAGAATCCCCCAGCTTGATGCGGTGTTTGCAGGCTCGGGACAGGCCACTCAGAGCGCACTTCCTGTAGGGAGAAAGGAAAACAGTGCTTCAGTGAAGGATAGCTCCTGGAGGAGCAGAGCATGGCAGCTGGCAGCTTCCTCAAGCCAAACCCCAGCAGCCAGGTCTGAGTCAATCAGAGCCCAGGAGAGGAAAGAGGAAGGTGGGATTTGAGTTCTCTGCTGCCAGAAACAATTCAATAAAAGCTGCAGGAAGGGGCAAGTACAGGAGACTTCTCATCCTACATTTGCACAGGAGGCACCAGGAGCTACACAATCACCAGGTAAACTGATACAGGGCCCTGCACGCCAGGGCTCCCCCTGTATGGTCTGAAACCAGGAGGACATGCAGTGCTGGCAACAGGCCAGGAGAAAAGCTGTTAGACATTAGGATGAAGCAATGTAACGAGTGTAAAGAGTTCTGTCTGTTCTCTGCACCCTCTCCATCATACATGCACTTGGGATTACTCGGTCTTAGGAAAAGGGTCTCTATGTTCTGTGAGGGGAGGGGGCTGTTCCTTCATCACCACTCAGGGCTCGATCTGTTTGGTCAGAGTGCCATACAACAGCTCTCCGGATCGCCCCGAGACCAGGTCTAGTGCACATCAGGAGGTCTGTGGCCAAGCTCAGATTGCGGTTCAGTTTCTCCACGCAGAAACATGGCACATACAATCCATACTCTGACTACTCAGATATTTAAGTTGTTCCATTCTACTATTATCACAGTGGGAGTAGTGGGGTTTTAGGACATATTCCCTCCATAATACAGATTCCCTGATGGACCAGAGCCACTTGGACCACCCAGTCTGATCCCTGCATTTTGCAGGGTCTCTCGCTATTTTATTCTCATTAACCTAGTCTCCAACCTTCTCTTGAACAGTGCTTTGACCATCCCCTTCACTGCTCCGTTGCTCTGAGCATCCCTCCTAGACCTTCTTCTTCCTTATCTTTAAAGTCATTGCTCTTTGTCCTACCATCTTCTGAGCCTGGGAACGTTCCCCTTTCTCAGTTTATACTGTTGTTACACTGAAGGTATTCATAAACCAAAGGCCAGATCCTGAGCTCAGTCACGCTGGTGTAAGTCCAGAATAACTCTGCTCTTCCCTTGGCTCATGCCCAGTTCAGAGCCAAAGCCTGGAGCCCTTACTCAAGCAGAGTTTTCACTGGAACCAATGGGAGTTTTACCAAAGTTCCTCATCATCTATCTCTGTGCACACTACTCCTCACTGGAAATTGAACCCGGTTTCAAAACACAAGCCTCTAGCATGTGAGCTACAAAGGACTAACTCCATTATCTGGAGACAGTTGAAGGCTGATAACCTCTTCTACGGTCCAGCCACAAAGGGGATATATGTAATACTCTCTGGCAGCATGCTACTACATAGCGCCTTCAACCTCCCCTTATGCATGTCTTCTCTTCCAATCAGTGAATCATTTCTTCATTGTCCTTTAACGTGTGTTTTTCCGGGAAGCTTATTCTGCTGGAACCCACAGCACAGAGTCGGTCAGTTCTAACCTGTGCCATGTCACACAGAGACCAAGTTCAAACATTAACTTTTAACTTCAAACACGAACTTAAACAAGAAAAAGTTTATAAATTAAATCCCATCTGCAAAAAGGGCGGAATCCCCACGTGGTCTGGCATCTTCATTGAATGACCACATGGACTATACACTGGGGCTCACCACTGATTATACCCAATGATTATGCTCCACTGAGCATCTCGCTTGCAGTTGGTATCTTGGAGGCAGTGAAGTTATAGCCCCCTCCAGAGTCCCTTTTAATCAGATGGGGCCTGAGCCAAAGCCCACTGAAACTGATGGGAGTCTTTCCACATCAAAGGTCAGGAGATGTTGGGGTCTCCTGATCTTCTCTGACTCTTTTCAACTGTCTGTAAAGAGAACTCCAGTTTCCAGCATTTGTTGAAAAATTCCAGGGAACGTTTCCAGCACCACTTCATGCCGCCCAATAGGGATTTCCTGGTATTTCTCAGCATTTAACCATCGTCACACATCCTTCTCAGTCCCCGCGCCTCTGGGCTGGACACTGGCATCACTCCTTAGCTAGGATGGCCACGAATCGGGCAGGAAGAATCAGCGAGACTGGAAATGTGACACCAAATGTTCAGGAGGGCTTGTGAGTCTGTTTCATTATCTTCTCTCCCCCACTAGCAGGGGATTTAAACAGACAAACACAGGCTAAATAATAAAAGCAGAAGCCTGGCCTACTGAAGTGAGGAGTGATTTGGGCCGCCTAGTGTTTGAGACATATTAAAGGGAGAGGATTTTCAGAGAGCGCTGAGCACTCACCCTCCGGAAACCAGGCCTCTCTATAAGTTGGGCCCAAAAATCACTAGTCACTTTTAGGCCATTTGTCCCAAAGAGTGTTGTAAGTGGGACCTTCAATTCACCTTCCAGCATTAACAGGATTAAAAAAGTTACTGGCTAAACTCTAGCCTCAAAGCCATTAGTAACCAGGTGAGTTAGTAACTTGTTAATGGATCAGAGATCTTTCATCATTAGCTAAAAATCACTTACGTTACAATTTGCGACCGGAACCCGCTGTGAGAAGAGACAAAAAAACAGAAGGCAACCAGTCAGGATACACACAGGATGGCTTGTTTTTGGCATGGGACTAACACTCACAGAGTGATTTGTTTTGAGAAGAAAGAGAATGTGGAACAGCTTGCCATGCAGTCTATGTGTCATTCAGGTCACTGCCTCCTGACATGACAGATGACCTTTGGCTTGGAAGCTGCTGCTGCTAGCAGCAGGAAAAAAACCCAAGCTGACCTAAACACAACAGCTAAGTGAAATCCTCTCTCTTGGTCAAGAAAGGTAAAGCTCAGGAGTCTGACCCCTCTCTGTTTGCAGTGATACTGGGTTGAACCATTTCCTGCCACTTCCCTTCCTGGGGGAACTGAGGCCCTGTAACATCAGGAGCACAGACAGACAAGTGATTCCCAAGCTGTCACAGTAGTGACTCTGAAAACAGTCGATGCAACTCTCAGGAGGGGTTGGGGTGAAAGATAGGGAGGAGAGATGGGTGAGCTCATTTTGCCCCATTTCAAACCCACCTAGAGCATCATGGGTTCAAAAATGTGATGTGAACTTGGACGCTATGGGACACATGCATAGGAGAAATTGCAAGAGGGGAGGAATAAAAAACACCATCTGCGGGTCACCCAGTCCTGCCGGCTCAGCTTCTGGGCATTCTCCTAGCCCCAGTACATAGCAAATTCTGCCCTTGAGAGATAATGTTTTCAAACGACTCACCCTTGGGTGACTCCCCCCGCCCCGAGTTTAAGTTAGAGGAAGAAAACGTTCGGTAAGTTTGTGTACTCCAAGTAGTTTTTCCAGCCCCCCAAAATAATTCAGGAAGACTCCAAAGCCTCAAATTCCATGTGGCTCAACCAGCCCCTAGTGGTGAGTGCCTGGATCTAGGCCAGCTGCTGGCCTTGGTTTGGGATGGGAAAACACACTGTGAAATATTAACTAAAGAGGTGTTTCTACACCAGACTACTCAGCTACTACCCAGTATTGCTCAGATACTCAGGTGATGGGACCCCTAGAGAGATCTGAGACAGCGCTCTGGAGATACAGCAGAAGGCTGAGCAGATGTGTGGGACGGAAGCTGTCGTAGTGTGGGAGGAGGCTGGATGTGAGCGTCAGTGATGGCTGAGGGAGCACCTGGGAGGTTCCTTACTTTGGTCCGCCACATTCCATCGCCGACACCTTCACCACGGGCAGTGCCTGGGTAGCCACGGGCTCTATGGTGAGCGTGTTCTGTTCCACGGCCTCCCGCACTAGCTCTGATAGCTACAGCAAGAAACACAGACCTGAATTCAGATCAGCAAAGCTCATGTCCAGTGAGGTGGTGACTGCGCGCCTCCTCAGCATCAGTACAGCCTGAATGTCTGAGCAGAGCGACCCCCCCCAAGTCCTCGCTTCTGCTCCAGTGCTCACCTCCTGTTTGGTGAAGTCCAGGCAGGGCCCCACATCTTCCCGGTAAATCCTCTCCAGGAAGGAGCAGGATTTTTCCAGAGTCGGGGATTCCTTCCAGGCCTGGAACTCGGCGAATAGGATGGAGTCGACCTGCAGCGAGTTCAGGGGAGACACAGGAAGAGAGAAGGTGTGGGGTTGGGGAGAGGGGGAAAGACATCACAAGAGTTAACACACCAATTCCCCAACTACAAGGCTGCATTGGAACCTCAGCAGGAACTGCGGAGAAAAGCAGGATCGCCCCCAGGGGAACCTCTGCATCTGCCTTGTCTGCCACCCACATCACCATCTCTGTGACAGATTAACATGCCAAGTGAGGGTAGCTCAGTCCGAGGCCTGTGAAATGCCCGAGTTCCCCAAAGGCAAGGCAGAGTCCCCACTGGGGGAGGCAGCCAGAGAGCGAGTGAATAGACCAAATTCCCCTCTCATCCCAGGAGAGGATAGGCAGGGCTAGCCCGCGATGGCAACGAAGGTCAGGACATAAAGGCAGAATCCCCTTGGAGAAAGAGGTCAATACAGCAAAGGAGAGAGTCAGGGAAAAGCTTTCAGTGAATAGCCATCACCATTTCTATCCATTTGTGTAGCAGGTGTGCTGGCCCTTTAAAGACAGGTCCAAACCCAGCAGCCTTGGAGCTGCTGCAGCCCAGAACTGAGGCATTCTGGGAGTTGTTCCCAGAAATGATGGGGATTGTAGGCAGCGGGGCATGCATAGAAGGGAAAGCAGGGTATAAGTAGGGTGACCAGATGTCCCGATTTTATAGGGACAGTCTTGATATTGGGGGCTTTTTCTTAAATAGGCGCCTATTACCCCCCCATCCCCGTCCCAAATTTTCACACTTTCTATCTGGTCACCCTAGGTATAAGAAGCAGCCTTCCTTCAGAGCACTGAATGGTTACATTTGTTATGGGTTCTCTGCAGAGAGGGAGCAGCTTTCCAGGGCATGGGAGCTACTGCACCTATTCCCCTTTACAGATGGACTCAAATTCACAGCTGTGAGGGACCCACAGCAGATCTTGCCTCTTCCCTAGTGTCTCTCATTTTATATCCTGCTTCCCTGCCCGCTCCCAGCATGCCCTACAATTCCCATCAGTCCAATGTCAAATCCCAGCATGCCTCGGCTCTAGGCTGCAGCAGTGACAGGACCATGCTGGGCCTGGCCCTGTCCTTAAACAACCAGCAGACCCTGTTACAGTTTGTTAAAGGAGCATGGGGGGCGGGGGGATGACAAAACAAGCCCAGCATGAAAAGAACATACGTGAACAAAGCAGTCCAGTCCCCAGGCTGTCCTGACAGTGCACTAGCTCTATGCTATGGAGACTGCTCACCTGGTGCCGGGAGACAACTCCATCGCCACAATATGGAAATCAATTAGAGAAACAAAAAAAATGGATGTTAGTGTCAAAGAAAGGGAGAGCTGAAAGACTGAAGCTGTGAGAGGCTGATGAATCCCACCCTCCCCCTAGCCTGTCCTCTGTGCCACATCTATTCTAGCTCCAGAGGTTACCTGCCGCAAGGAGGATGACGAGGAAGAATCTGCCACCAGGGCCTGCCAGCCTGGCTCGTAGGTGATGTGGATGGCCTTCCCCGGGACAATACAGAGGAGCAGAGAGAGGAGAGTGGGCACGCCAAACTTTGAAGGACGAGTGGAGAGAAGAGAGACAGACAAGGAAACAGTTCAGAGGGGCAGGCAGAGAAAGAAAGGCAAAAATGTGAGACAGAAGATACAGAAAACTCGAGTTCTGCCTGTCAGCACGCCGAGTGCCTCTCAAAAGCTCGTAGGTTCTTCAGCATATCATTGGCCTAAGTTTTCAGAAGCCGCCAGTGATTTGGGGTTGCTCAGTTTTTGGGTGCCCAGCTTGAGCTGCTTTAAAGAAACCTGATTTTCCCCAACGTGTTGTGCAACCCTGAGGCCCCATAAGTACTTTTCAAGGTGGGCACCTAAAAACAGAGGCATTCAAATTCACTAGTCACGTTTTTGAAAATGTAGGCCCTGGATTTTAGGCAGCTGGTTAGCTGCACCAATGGAAATCCCTTGTGTAGACACAGTTTACACCAGAGCAAGGGCGCAGTAGAGACCTTGCCAGGATTGTGCACTTAGTGAGCAAGAAAGGGGAAATAATTACCATCTTTGGCATTCTACAAGCACCTTCCTCCAAGAATTTCCCATTGATTACAGACCTTCGGTGACTGACTCTCATGATTAGAGCAAGCAATTGACAGCATCAGCAAACACAGCCCTTTGTGGTTTATGAATTGAACGCAAACAGAGCAGGACTTTTACAAGTTTGTCCCCAAGTCACAATTGTTCAGCTAATGCTTGGCACTGGCTTCGCTAGCCTTTCAGCTGTTTGATATCAGTGAGTCAACAGTGCAGCTGCCTGACTGGACACCTGAGTCAGGGGCTATTGCTTCTGGCCCCTGATTGGATCACCTTGTTTAGCAGCTCACTGGAGTTTTGATTCATGCCGGGAGAGGAGCCTCTTTCCTTATTGCCACAAGAAGGATCCTTCTATTTGGCTACATACTTGGACTTCAAATGTCAACATATCTGGGTTCTTTCCTACCTGATCAAGAGAGAGGTAGATGTAAACCAATGAAGCAGGACTTCATGGCTATTTAACAGACCCTTCCTTTGATTCTCCCCTCACGTTCACACCCAGACTCCGTGTGTGTAATTCTAATCCCATACATAGTGATATTAGCAGCTGCTGAAGCGCACTGATTGAATTCACCCATCCCCATTGCCATTCACTGAAGTCACTGTCAGGCAAATAGTCATCCGAGAGGTCAGCCCAGTCCTCTTTGGTCACCGCTTCCTGGTCTGATTAGCTGTCTGACAAGCCAGATGGGCCAAGTGCCTCCCTGCTCTTGAAATGCTTCCATGCTGCAGACACCAGTGCTCCTGGCAGTGGAGGCAAAGTACATGCACCCCCCACTGCAACCACGTTTGTTCTTCCTGCTCAAATGCCAAACTTGCTTCTTCATCCCTCCAGCTCTGACACCCACAAGGAGTTTTCCAGATGGCCGTGCAAACGCTTGTGCAAAGGTGTGTTCACACAACTAGTCACAACACTGTTTGCAGAAAGATAAATTCTGGCAGACCCATGTTGTACTCACATCAGTGTTTAGGGAGAGCAAAAGAAAGGGACCATAAAACTCAGTGAAGGAAATTAACAGGATTTTAGTTGAAAGAATATCCACAAAAGCAGTTTGTATTTATTTGCCCAGCTCTATTCAGGAGGCAGGCAAAACCTGCTTTGCAGGTAGAGAAACTGAGACCCAGGGAGGAAAGGTGACTTGCCCAAGGTCACATAGTGAGGTAGTGGAAGAGCCAAGGAACAGAAAGCAGAAATTCCAACTCCCAGTCCTGCGCTCTAACCACTAGTCCACACTAGACAGCATTAGCCAGAGCAGCTGTTAGAGTGCAGAGGCAGATCAGGAAAGCCAGTTCTCAGTAGGTGCTTACTGCCTGATGCCAGCGGTGCTAAGAGCCGTATCCATACAGCCAGAAAAGTCCTGCAAAGGCACGCAGGTTGTTTCCAGAGGTTCTCTCCTGAACCCAGACTGGAGTGACTCCTGTAAGGGGAAGTCCCCACAGTCTGGGATTTTGCCAAGAAACCTTCAGCTCCCAGCACAACAAGACTCAGAGGACTCCTAATCCACAAATAGCGTTACTGTGAACATCGCTGAAGCCGCGGAGCAGGGGAAAGGCTGTGGGCTCTGCAGACCTCAAGGGAAATCCCTGAGAAGATCCCTCCCCAGCTCCTCCCCAGCATGTGGGCTCAAGCCCACGCAGGGCCAAGAGCTGATGTGGTGAATGGATTTCACCCACCTCTTTGCACTCGTTGCTGACTGACTCCACGGGCAAGCTCTGGCTGGTGGCTGTGACTACTGCGCTGCTGGCGCTCTTGTTCCGCCCGTGCCCTTTCCTGAAGACAGCTTTGGAGGGGCTTTGGAGCTGGGGGTGCAGCTCCCGGTTTGGAGAGGAAGGTGTGGAAGTGATCACTAGAGTCTTCAAAGCAGTCACCTCTGCTTGCAGCATGTCGATCTAGGAGACAAGGAGAGTCAACAATGCCACCACCTCCACCCAGCAGAGTACCTTGCACTGTGCAGGGAATGCACGCTCAGGATCCAGGGGCATCCGCACCACCCAGCCACACACTCAGCCTAGGAGACATCCCCTGATCCATCCACAACATCTGCCCAGCTCTTCCACCCCCTGCCCCTGTCCCAGAATCTCAAACCAGGGAACAGGGTCTGTACAGATCAGAAACAAGTTGCAGAGCCTTCCCTGCCCCTTCCCAGTCCACATCCCCCGCAAAGGCCCAGGCTACGCAGGCAGGGCATATTTAAGTCTTATAGCCAGAGACCCCCTTCCCTGATGAGGAGTCAGCAGCAGATGCAGCTCCATGCCCCCGTGGTACATCCTGATCAGGGAATCCTGTCCCTAACTCCTATCTCCCCAGCCTCCCTTATCCGTGGTGCCTCTAAGCAGCAGCTTGTCCTCACGTTTGCTACGTGACAAACTGCAGCTAGGTGAAGCTGCTGGTCAGTTCTGTGCTTGTGGGAGCCCAGGTGAAAGTCTGGACCCTGTTTTTCATAGGAGAGTTGGATCTGCTGCTAGTTTAAATGGCATGTTTCCCCACATTCAGTAACTGCTGTGCGGTGAGCTGAGAGACCTACTGAATGTCTAGAAGCCAGTAGTCCAGGAGGTCCCACTGGGAGGAGACTGGTTGGGATATGACCCTCAGCTACGTTGCGATCCCCCTGCCCACAGGCAGCCCCGTGTCTGTACAGCAGGAGGGTGGGATCAGAGAGTCCTCACCTTTCCTCGCGCCTCCCTCAGCTGCTTCTCTGACGCTGCCTGCTTAGTGTTTGCGTCTCTTACCATCTTGTGCGCTTCCTACAGCGGAGAGAGAACACATTACCTCCTGCTCATCGCAGCCAGAGTCCCAGCTACACACAGCCCCTGCAATGAGCAACCCCACAAAGCCAAGCGACACATTCTATCCTGCACCCTGGTGTTTTACATGCAGCTCAGCAGTTCTCCCGGGGGGCAGGGTACTCAAAGGTCCCTAGCAAGTGTGGCAGCCTTCCCAAGGACAGCAGGGAGCTCAGAGCACAATACCCCCCTCCCAACGCCCCTGGGGCAGTGCCCCTGGGGCATGCCTGTCTCCAACTGGCACAATAAGGATCTGTCCAGTGCTAGGTGTTTGAGTGTCCTGGGCTGCTGGAAGACAGGATTTTACTGGCCTGTAAGCTCATCATGAGCCATGGCACAAGAACGTGGGTCCTTTCAATATTCACCCTCTCCAGCAGAATGCAGCTCCCAGGGGTGCAGTGCACTGAGGGCATTGTAGTGCCTCTCTCCAGGCAAGGGCCGGGTGCTGGCATCTGGGAGAAGGCTGGGGAGCAGCAGGCAGCCTGGAGAATGGGCCACATGAGAATAGCTGCAGCAAGCCCGGGGCATGGCTAGTGCACCAGCGAAAGGGCTAAACTGCCTAGCTTCAGCAGCAGCAGCAGTTGAATAAACCTGTGATGTGGACCAGCTGCTTGGGGGGAAGCAGGACACAAACACCCAGACTCTCCTAGACCGGGTCCCGCCTCAGACACCACTGGCTGAAAACCCAAGTGTAATGAATACACGCGCTGCTTTATTTTATGTTTCCTGACAGCGTGGCTGGGGTGACTGGAGGTGGAGTGGGGGAAAGGAGAACGCCTGTTCCCCATACCAGTGCCCTGCATGCTGCCCCTCCCCATTAACACAGCTGCCAGCTTGCACCATGCTCTGCCATCCTGCATACGCAATCAGCCAGCTCTACTGTTCAGACTGCGAAGGGCTGGCCATGAATGCAGGGAACCCCAAAGCGTGAGCAAAGTGAGGAGAGAGCCTGTCCCAAGGGGGACAGTGAGTGACCTCCGTTTAGGGAGTAACTGGGGAAGGGGGAGGGAAGTGGTACCTCGAACAGACTGGCTGTCAGCTCCTCCAGCTCCTGCTCCAGCTGCTCTCTGACCTTTGACAGCCTCTCACATTCCTCATCCTTCAGCTTCAGCTCCTGCAGAGAGGACGGTGGGGACTTTGGCATGCTGGGCAGAAGCACATGCCAGGCCCCAGTACGCTCTGCAGACAGCACCACCCTCTTCCACGTGCCTCAATCTCTCCCACTGCGTCCTGCTGCCTCCTCCCGCTCTGCACGCACTGACACTAGCCCTTCCCCCGCCCCACGTCTGTGCGGTTTCCAGCCCCACTCACCCCCAATCACTGCAGACGCTCAGGCTGCACTCATTGTTAGTACCCTAACAGGGCATGCTCCCACCTTCCAGCCCATGGATACTCCCGCCCCGTCTACCCTTTTCACCCCTCAATTCCTGGTCTGTGCCCCCGCCCCATGGGTGCTTGCCCCCCCACACCTCCCCGCGCCCAAGCCTTTACCTTCTGTGCTCTGTGGAGCTCCTCCTTCAGGAACTCTGATCCCTTCTCACGGATCTCCACTGAGGAGCTGCGCAGGCGGGAGACATTGAGCTGCGCCGTGGATTGGTCGTCGTCTCCCCCACCTGCCTCCCTGCAGCGAGGATCCAACTGCGGCAGCTCCTTCCCACCACTGGATGATGCCAGCGGCTTCCACTGTCCCACCGCCGGCTGCTTCTGGAGCTGATGGCTGCCTTCTTTGAACGGGGCCTGGCTGGGGGACACAAGCGTGTGAAACATGAGCCAAGGATCAGAGATCCAGGGTGTGGACAGCGCCAGGATCCAAGCAGCTTATGGCCTCACCCAGATCTCGTCATTTAAGGGGTTTGCGGTAGAAAGCTCTCCCCCCAGTGGAAATGAGCATTTGGCTAATGGCCAGCACTGAGAGGGATCGCGATACCCAGGGAATGATAATGCTGCAGGAAGTGTGTATAGCTCTAAGGAGTGTGGAAGGGCGAGGGGGCAACATGGGGCTGATGTGCCACTTGAGACCAGAACACAGGGCAGGCTAATCCACAGCTCAGGTGATAACGTCACTGCAGAGCCGAGGGGTCTCCAACAGCATTTGCAGGCCGGCCGGATCGTGTCATGCTGGTGTCTCGCCCCACTGTGCGTACATGGGCTGCAAAGCTCTTCCCCTGGCTTGGTGATCCACAAAGGAGTCCCACAGCGCTGGGCAGAGCAGGGCAGCGCACACATCTGGCCTGCTGCCCTAGGGGTACAGGACAGCCAAGCAAGATGTTAACTGTAGACAGGTCAAAGGGCTGAGAGAGCATGAACGGCACTCAGGCCAGCCTCATCCCAAAACAGCCAAAGGACCCGCTGGGGCTCCATGCTTAAGGGACCTGCAGCTCAGGGGCTAATCCCCCACTCCAGAAACTGAATCCACCTCTCTAGAGGTAAGATCAGGAAGGGGAGGCAACTCACAGGCTTCATCTCTCACCATCCCAATCCCAGGTGCCCTGGCATTTGGGGAAGAAGCACAGACTCCCTCAGTACCAGAGTCTCGTTAAAGAGCGGAGGAGGGCGACGCAAGGGGCATCAGGCAGGATTAGCTCAGAGGAGCTGCTTTTGCACTGTGGGTGGCAGCGCTGGGTTCGCTCTCCCTCGGTGGAGGGCCTTCTAGGAAGGGAAAACCCTAAACAAGCCACTTCCTCCCATTCAGCTCTTTGAACAAGGACCGGGACAGAATCACCAGAGGACACACTGGGCCCAGGAGCCCATTATAAGGACCAGGTTTTTGTCAGAGGGAGATTAGAGGTAATGTAAGGGAAGGGATGGCAGAGAGGCCACCCCACCCCCTGTATCTGTGCTGTCACGCTGCCCCCAGCAGGCACTTAGCCAGGGAGAACTGAACAGCCCAGGGAGAGATCACAGCTCCTTGGGAGGAATAAAAGCAGAGGTACCATTTTGGGAGCCCAAGTTTCGTACAGGAGATGAGCTCCCAGGCGGAGCTCTTAAGGGCAGCACAGCCTGAGTGTGGAATGTGAGATCTGCAGAGGAGACCTGCTGCTCCCAGCTTGTGGCCCTGGGGCAGGGAGTCAGTGTTTTGTTTACAAACAGAGGCAGGGTGATTAAGATAAGAAAGGGCTGGTAATTAAATTAAGGATCTGGAAGTCATTAGATGAGCCTGTAAAACAGGAATCCCTCTGCAGGGGGTGGCGGGTGTTGCAGGGGATGCAGAAGAAATACAGCCAAGCATTCTGAGCCAAGGTTACATTCAGAAAGGTGGGAGATTTGAGGGGCGTAGGTGAAAAGAAGGGGCCAAAACCCAGGGAAGGGATAGCAGTGGTATAGAGAAGTTCCCATCACCTTAGTATCTGAGCCCCTTACAAGGTCTAACCTATTTCTCCTCACAGCCCCTCCGTGAGGTAGAGCTGTGCTGTTATCCCCATTGTACAGATGGGGCACTGAGGCACAGAGAGACTAAAGGCCAGATTTTCAAAGGTATTTAGGCACCTAGTGGGATTTTCAAAAGGACCTAGAAGGTTAAGTGCTTTGTAAACCCCATTAGATGCCTAGCTGCATCTTTGGATGCCTAAAAACCTTTGAAACTCTGTCCCTAAGGCATACAGGAAGTCCATGGAGGAAGTAGAACCCAGGTCTCTCAGATCTAGCTCCTTATCCACTGGACCAGCCTCTCTCTCTGCTATATGCTGAAAAAAAAAAAAAAAAAAGGACTCTGATAGATGGGAGCAAAATCAGGAAGGCCTGGTCTACACTATGACTTTAATTCGGATTTAGCAGCGTTAAATCAAATTAACCCTGCACCCGTCCACACAACGAAGCCATTTATTTCAAAATAAAGGGCTCTTAAAATCGATTTCTGTACTCCACTCCGACGAGCGGAGTAGCGCGAAAATCGATTTTGTCATTTCGAATTACGGTTAGTGTGGCCGCAATTCGATGGTATTGGCCTCCGGGAGCTATCCCACAGTGCACCATTGTGACCGCTCTGGACAGCAATCTGAACTCAGATGCACTGGCCAGGTAGACAGGAAAAGCCCCGCGAACATTTGAATTCCATTTCCTGTTTGCCCAGCGTGGAGAGCACAGGTGATCACAGATAGCTCATCAGCACAGGTAACCATGCAGGACGATAATTGAAAAAGAGCACCAGCATGGACCGTACGGGAGGTACTGGATCTGATCGCTATATGGGGAGAGGTTTCAGTGCTAGCAGAACTTCGTTCGAAAACACGAAATGCCAAAACTTTTGAAAAAATCTCCAAGGGCATGATGGAGAGAGGCCACAATAGGGACTCAGATCAGTGCCACGTGAAAGTCAAGGAGCTCAGACAAGCCTATCAAAAAACAAAGGAGGCAAACTGTCGCTCCGGGTCAGAGCCGCGGACATGCCGCTTCTACGCCGAGCTGCATGCAGTTCTAGGGGGGGCTGCCACCACTACCCCACCTCTGACTGTGGATTCCGAGGTGGGGATAATCTCATCAGCTACACCTGAGGATTCTGCGGACGGGGAAGAGGAGGAGGAGGAGGAGGAGGACGAGCTTGCGGAGAGCACCCAGCACTCCGTTCTCCCCAACAGCCAGGATCTTTTTCTCAGCCTGACTGAAGTACCCTCCCAACCCTCCCAAGCCAGTATCCAAGACCACGACCCTATGGAAGGGACCTCAGGTGAGTTTACCTTTTAAAATATAAAACTTGTTTTAAAAGCAAGCGTTTTTTAATGATTACTTTGCCCTGAGGACTTGGGATGCATTCGCGGCCAGTACAGCTACTGGAAAAGTCTGTTAACGTGTCTGGGGATGGAGCGGAAATCCTCCAGGGACATCTCCATGAAGCTCTCCTGGAGCTACTCCAAAAGCCTTGCCACAAGGTTTCTGGGCAGTGCAGCCTTATTCCGTCCTCCATGGTAGGACAATTGACCGCGCCATGCTTGCAGCAAGTAATCTGGTATCATTGCATGACAAAGCCTGGCAGCGTATGGTCCCGGTGTTTGCTGGCATTCAAGCAACATCCGTTCTTTATCTCGCTGTGTAATCCTCAGGAGAGTGATATCGCTCATGGTAACCTGGTTGAAATACGGGAATTTAATTAAGGGGACAGAGGTGGCCGTTCCTACTGGGCTGTTTGCCTGTGGCTGAAAAGAAATCCTTCCCTGCAGTTAGCCAAGCGCAGGGCGGGGGGGGGAGGAATTGGCCCAGAGCTTTTCGCGTTTTGCTAGCAGGGATCTTCCCTGATACCAGCCACACGGTGGGGGGAGGGGTAAAGCGATCATCCCAGAGAATTCATGGCGGGGTGGGGGGTGTTAGTTTGGTTCCTGCAGGGATCTTCCCTGATACCAGCCACGCGGTGGGGGGAGGGATAAAGCGATCATCCAGAGAATTGGATGGGGGGGGTTAGTTTGTTTTCCGCTACTGAAGGTTAACAGGAAAACCGCAGCACTCAACGGGCTTTGCTTGGTATGTGGGAAAGGAGGGCGTAGAAGCCGAAAGACAATGGCTTACCATGGCCGCATGCAAGCCGAATTCTGTTGCCCGGACCTGCATCTGTGATCTCTAGCAGCAAAGCCACAGGCGCTCAATATTAAGAGGCAAAATGCGACCTTGCACAGAAATCACATGTGCTATGTAATGTGAATAGTGTTGGTCACCATGAAAGAGTATAAGCATTGTTCTGCAAAATGTATCTTTTTAAAAAATTCTCTCCTTTTTTCCCTCCCTCCAGCAGCTGCAAATTCTTCAAGCCTCCCTCCTCCGTCCCAGAGGCTATCTCAGATAAGGCGTCGGAAAAAGAAGACGTGAGACGATATGTTCGCAGAAATCATGGAATCCACCCGCAGTGAAAGAGCTCATCTGAATGAGTGGAAGGACACGGTTTCAAAGTATAGGAAAGAAGCCAGTGAACGTGAGGACAGGAGGGACCAACGTGAGGACAGGAGGGACCAACGTGAGGGGAGGAGAGACGCTCAAGATGAGAGGTGGCGGCAGGAAGATCAGAGGAGGCAGGATGCAACGCTGGGGCTGCTGCGTGAGCAAACAGACATGCTCCGGCGTCTGGTGGAGCTTCAGGAACGGCAGCAGGATAACAGAGTGCCGCTACAGCCCCTGTATAACCTCCCTCCCACCATGTTCCATAGCCTCCTCACCCAGATGTGTAAGAACGCGGGGGGGGGAGGCTCCGTACACCCTCCCATTCCACCCCAGTGGACAGCCCAAGCAAAAGGCTGTCATTTTTTTAACCTTTTTTTAGTGGCCTTTTCCTTCCCGCCGATCCTCCTCCCAAACCCCACCCGGGTTCCCTCTCTCTTTTTATAATCAATTAATAAAGAATAAATGATTTTTAAACGATAGTGACTTTATTTCCTTTGAAAGCAAGCTGGGGGAAGGGGGAGGGTGGGTTCCTTACAGAGAATGAGTCAATAAAGGGGGCGGGTTTTCATGAAGGAGAAACAAACAGAAATTTCACACTGTAGCCTGGCCAGTCATGAAACTGGTTTTCAAAGCTTCTCTGATGCAGAGCGCTTCCTGGTGTGCTCTTCTAATCGCCCTGGTGTCTGGCTGCACGTAATCAGCAGCCAGGCGATTTGCCTCAGCCTCTCACCCTGCCATAAAGGTCTCCCCCTTACTTTCACAGAGATTGTGGAGCACACAGCAAGCAGAAATAACAATGGGGATATTGGTTTGGCTGAGGTCTGAGCGAGTCAGTAACGATCGCCAGCGACCTTTTAAATGGCCAAATGCACATTCTAC